TGAAAGTTGACCCGCACGTACCACTGTCACGAAAATTATGACATCGACGAGCACGATCAACCACGGATATTATCGCCATTAATACTGATTTAGCTGAAAGGAGGAGCAAATAGGTCCCGATCGACTGCGCAGGTATAATGTAAGGGCGAACTTCTCACCCCTTTTTCGGTGTTAGCACGGCGAACGCGTGTCTATTCATTCGGTGTTCAGTGTTAAGCTGGACAGCGTTAAGTCGACGGTGAACCTATAAATTTTCTTCCGACCCCCTTCTCTTTTCTTGTGAAACGACCCTGGCACCGTAAGCGCCCTTTGAAGTTTCATTTAATGAGATACGCGGCGTGTAAGTGCATATGCGCATACCTTTCGAATTGCATTAGAAAGATATTCAAGCTTTATCCCAACAAATTATTTATTACGCCTCCTGTAGAAAACCTGCAGGGGATGCAACAACGCGAAGGTTTATGTGATGAAATTTTCGCATTACTTTTTTTTTTTCATATTCCAACGCTCGTTTCATATTTTAACGATGGACGTATTATACGAAGCGACGCTCGTTTTCTGAAAACACGTTCCCCGTTTTGCGTAATTAAAACGAATGGGTATCACGTGCTTGACAGATTTTCTTTATTTAAGGTAATTTTTAAATTAGGTCTGCGAACAATTTTTTCAATGACGATTATTGTGAGGTAACCATATATTTGTGAAGAATTTATTTAGTTACTTGGGACAAATATTGCAAAAGAAATCGTTAAAAATCCGAATAAATATACTGCTGAACGAAATTATAGCATCGAAAAATTTTGAATAAAAATTGGACAACTTTGAATGACGATAACACCACGAAAAATCATCTTAGGATGATGACTCTTTGTCGCAGGGGTTACTGCGACGGTTTATATAAAATAATCCGAGAGAGTTTTTTTTGGTTTTTATATAACGAGAACTTTAATATAACTTGTAACAAAAGGCGATGAGAGGTACAGTGTGTAAAAGGTAAAGGTAAACGAGTGACGGATGAGACAGAAATATGGACACGTTGAGAGCCGGAGGAAAACTTGCTAACTGATGTCTCCCGGTCGAGAGGTCCTCGTATGTATTGGCGAGAGCGTATTGAAATTGGTAAGGGAAAGTCCTTGGGAAGGGCGAAGGCCTTTCCCGAAGATTTTCCGACCGGGGTGATCCGGGACCTATGGTCCGAAACTGTGTCCCAACGTTTTTATTGTTTTATTGCAGTGTGTACGCCTTGCGTCGGGAAAACCCGAAAAAGGCATCTGTACACCCCGCTTTTGGAGAACGTGTCTTTTTATGTCCGATCCGCCACAACTCTTTTTTAAAAATTAAAGCTTGTAACCTCTATTTTAAGGTAATTGTTTTGAATTTTAGGTTCGATGCACCCTCACTACTGTAACCCTTTATACATATATATGAGGCCATGAGGCCAAAAAAGAGCATCATCCTACAATGATTTTTCGCGGAGTTATCGTCAGTCAAAGTTGGTCAATCTTTATCCAAAATTTTTCTAAGTTATCTTTTTTTTTTTAGCGGTGTATATTGTATAAAGTAACATGAAATATGTAGTTGCTTCTAATGCCTTCGTAAAACTAGTGTACTAGTAAGTAGACAATTTTGATTAAAAATGAGACCAAATACAAGAATATTACAGGTAACTTCTCAAGATATTGGTATAGTAATATATGTACGAGCTGTAAGCGTATTTTTAAAATTGCACAAAATAGCGTAAATATGTTTTAAAAATATCGTCGTTTGATTTCTGTCATAATACAGAATGAAAATATATATATATATATATATATATATATATATATATATATATAATATATATATATAAT